CCCCAAGGGCCACCAGTCCAACCCCATTCTGCCCTGCAGGAATACACAATCAAAGCATCTCCGAAAAATGGCCATCCAGCCTTTGTTTAAAAACCTCCAAAGAAGGAGATCCCACCATACTCCGAGTCAGCATACTGTCAAACAGCTCTTACCATTAGAATCATAGAATCATAAAGTTGGAAGAGGCCACAAGGGCCATCCACTCCAACCCCCTGCCATGCAGGAACTCCCAATCAAAGCATCCCTGACAGATGGCCATCCAGCCTCTGCTTAAAGACCTCCAAGGAAGGAGACTCCACAAGTTCTTCCCAATGTTTAGGTGGAATCTCTTTCCATGTCGTTTGAATCTATTGCTCCATGTCCTAGTCTCTGGAGCAGCAGAAAACATGCTTGCTCCAGTCTCAACATCACATCCCTTCAAAGATTTAAACATGGCTATCATGTCACCCCTTGACCTTCTCTTCCCCAGGCAAAACCAAGCCAGCTCCCTAAGGGCTTGGTGGTTTCCAGACCTTTCACCATTTTGGTCACCCTCCTCTGGACATGCTCCACCTTGTCCATATCCTTTTTGAACTGTGATGCCCAGAACTGGACACAGTATTCCAGGTGAGGCCCAACCAAAGCAGAAGAGAGTGGCACTATTACTCCTCACTACACTCCCACTGAAACAGCTTGATATCATATTGGCTTTTTTAGCTGCTGCATCACATCTCCCGAGCAAAGAAATAATGGCAGTCCATTAGTCAGCAAGGAGGCTCTGCAGCGTCCTAAAGATCAAACCGTTTCATGCAACCGTCAACACCCGTGGTTTCCTCTCACTTTAAAGCACAGACTCTGGCCTCAAAAGTCACAACTGTGGGGGACACTGCCCTCAATCCCCTTCCAGCTTTATACCACTCAGTCAATGCCAAACAACGGTCATGATCTAACCAAGCCTCAGTGTACATTTTCCTATACTCAGAAGCAAGCGATAACTTTGCACCGATGCTAAGAAACAAACTAAGTTCCTATGCTAAAAAACAAGGTATAACCTCTGTCAGATTTGGCAGAGTTTGCCGTTCTCTGCATGCTGAGAACTCTAGTTTCCATTAAGGAGACATTCCAAAAACTCAGCATCTGCAAATCAGATCCATTCAGCACCTCATCTGCTAATTTAAAATGGTTTCTACAGCTTGTTACAGAAAAGGACAAAGCACTCTGAACTATTTCCCTTTGATTTTTATGTTCTGAGATTTCAGCAAGTGCTTTGGCAAGCCTACCTTCAGAACAAGGAGGGCTAAAGACCCCATTAAGCAAAGGAAACCTATTATTGTCATTGTTCATTTTAATCATACCCTGACTTCCCCAAGACCGGGACTCAAGTCAGCTTCAAAATTAAAATGACTACCATATAGTTAGACACAGAAAAAGTCAACATCAAAATACTATTAAACCACTAACAAGAGTAAAACAATTTAAAACATACACATACGAAGGATAAAAAGCATTTAAAATAGAGTCCAATTTGAAACCATTCAAGAGGGTTGTAATTCAAGAGTGGTGTAATGCTTTGAGCATTGGACTATGACTCTCGAGAGCAGAGTCCAAATATCGCTGGGTGACCTTAGGCAAGTCACACTCTCTCAGCCTCAGAAGATGGCAATGGCAACCCCCCCCCCTCTGAAGAAACTCTCCAAGAAAACCCTGTGATAGGGTCACCATAAGTCGGAAACAACACGAAGACACACGACGACAACTAAAACAATACAGCACCCTCTTTAAAAATCCTTCCTTTGAAAATTTTGTTCTACAAGTCTGTCAGAACAAAAGTGTCTTCACCTGCCGACAGAAGGACAATGAAGGGGCCATTTTGGCCTCCCTAGGGAATGAGTTCTGGACCCTGGGGTCAACCACTGAGAAGGCCCTGCCTCAAACCATACTTGTGAAGATGGTGGATTCTCAATGCCCTGAAAATGCCACACCATGCGCCAAATCCTACGTTAGATGTAAGCTAGTGTCTTGAGTCACTGGTGTCACGCTGACTTAAAATCTGCACTTTTTTGTGTTTGCAAGGGAAAGGAGCTATTTTTGTTAGTGATCAACATCATGCTTAGTACCAGATATCCAAAAAAGAACAAGAGGAGCATGGATTTACAAGTTGCCGCGTTCACTGCTCTGTAGCAGCAAGGTTCCTAAGGGGACTCAACCCCCAAACTACAAATCTAACCAGAGAGCTCTTGGAAACCTCTCACGCTCCAGACTTCTGGCGCTTGCAAACGATTTTCCGCCCTCCATACAAAAACCGGCTTCTTTGTTCCGTTGCCTTCTTTGCGCTTTTCTCGTCCTCACAATGCAGCAACCCAAAGAGGGAACACTCTGAAATCCTCTTGTGCAAAAGAGCCGTTTTGTTTTCTTAAATGGCTTCAGTTTTCCCCATAAAGTTAACCCTGACATTTTCAGTCTCCGCTGCGGTTTTTGCAGGTCTCTTCACTTCTGTGTCATCCGGAAACTGAATCCGCCAATCCTCGTTCACCTGTTCCTCTGGAGTGAGGGAACGGAGGACAATGCCAGGCCGGCACGTACAAAGTACCAAATACAGCGGAGAATCAAGGTGCCTCGAGCACCTGCCGGCCCAATTCAGGACCTCTTTTTCTGGGTCAACAAGGTGGGAGAGCTCCTCGCAGGTGCGTGGCCTCAAGACTGGCAAGGCAGGTTACGATCAATTTAGCATGCTGGCATGTCGGTTTTTGCAAAACAGCACAAACACAGAACACAGGGAACGAACAATAGTGCCACGAACTCAAACAGTTAACAATGCAGCTACCACAAAGACCGCAAAACATCACAAAAGAAAATTATTACATTGTTCAAGGCACAACATTTATATACCAAGGAAAGCATGACATTTATATACCAAGGGAAAGGAGAAATGTGTAGGACCCTATTACCAGTGTGCAAGACCCTATGTGTAAGACCCTATTCAGAAGTCAAGAATGTATGAATTCTGTACTGACTGCACCAGGAGTTCACTGGTGTCTGATCATTTTGGGGTTTGATCAGACACATTAGGGCAGGGGTAGGCAACTTTTCCCCTTTAAGGGCCGAGGGACTTCAGCTCCCAGAAGCCTCAGCCATGTTGGCCAATAGTCCCATCTTGTCCTATAGCTCCTGGGATTCTGGGAGCTGCAGTCCCTTGGTCCTTAAAGGGGAAAGGTTGCCTATCCCTGCATTAGGGTTCGATTCAGTACATGGGAATCCACTGGTGTCTGACCTTTTGGGGGTTTGATCAGGGCCGAGATGCTCAGCATAGACTTAAGGGGCTACGAGTCGTCCCTCTGCTGGGGAGGGTCCATGCTTGTTGCCCAGCTAGCTTCAGAACTGCACAAAAATCCCCGCACTTGGCGCAGATCGGACTGCCTTTACAGGACTGGAAACTGACCACAGCGGCCAGCGATGGTGGGCTCCCTTGGAACTTTGCCACCAATCGGTTTACGAGTCCCCTCTCATCCCTGCCCAAACCTTGGGCAGCTGTCCAAACATTCCCCCCCCCTTTCATGTCAGCTGCTATTTTGGCCTGACCAGACTAAAAATACAGAAGGGCGTTGTTGA